TTAATATAGTGGACAGTTTTGGTTTTGCGAAATCATAGTGTGTAACATTCGTATTGAACCCCCCTACCCCTAGTTGTTATCATAAGATATTGAGATATTATTGTTAATGGAAAACAATTCATGAAATAGTGAAGGTTCTGTAGGTGATGATGAAGTTGAAGTATCTATTTGTAAAATAGGAGTTGTTGATGAAGGTGTATTCTACAAAAAAGATACATATTTGGAATATGTGTATGAATGTATGAATGTAGTACAGTCAAAGCTCATTATAGTGGACCCTTGGTTCATATGTAATTTTTCTCCTTTTTTCCACTATAACAAAATTTTATTATGTTTTCCACTATATCGAGCAAAATTAATTAGCATTGGAAACAAAAAAGATCCACTATAATGAGATTTTATTATATGTCCACTATAACGAGATCCACTATAACAAGCTTTGACTGTATTTATAAACATATATATATATATAAAATAAATAATCCACCTTTGTTGTAAGGTTTTCATTGACATATTCTAAAAATTTATGTGATATATTTTTTAGTAAAAATTCAAGTGATTTTACTTCAGTCTTGAAAAATTCCATCATGGCTGTTTCTTTTTCAGATAGATTATTAATTGTGCCCAACTCCAATATGATATCTCTAGCATATTTTTTGAAATGTTCAAATAGGCCACTTCTTTCACTTTTACTTTCTCTGCAATTTGAAGGACATTATATTAATTTATTTAAAAAAATAACCATTATTCTTTTTTAACTAGAGTAACAACGAGTGGTGGGTGATAACCACCACTATCCTTATTCTTAAAACACTTACCCAGCTGCTCCAGATGTATTTTCTTGTCTTCTTTTTCTTGTTGTGGATATTGACATTATAAAAAAAAATTTTTAAAAAAGAAGCTTGTTATAGTGTCCCATCATCTAAAGACATCACAAAATGTTGCCAATCTTTAAATGCTGATACTTTACTAAAGATGGGTTATTTATCAAAAACTCTCTATTTTTGCAATCTTCTAGACATGAAAAATAATGTAATAGAAAGTTTTTTTTGAGTTATTTAGTAAGAAAAAAAGTTATAATGGTTTAAAGTCATGTAACTTTACTATGTTATTTGAAATTTCGGCAACATCTAAACCGTGATTTACAGATTATTTTCATGATTTACCGATTATTCACGTGACACATTCGCAGATCAATTACCAATTCGGATTTTAAAATTTTATTTATTGAGTGGGTAGCTCAATTAATGTCAAGCAGTGACAATTATCTTAATATTAACAGAAGTATATATGTTTACTTGATGCACCAGCCTGGTTTGGTTAATAAATTTTTGAACTGCATGGGCTGTAATCGAGTGATTACCATGCTGAAAAAAAATTATGTGACTGGTTATTATTATTCATTTACAGTATTTTATTTGCAGCTATCCGAAAGGCAAATCCTCTATCCATTATCATCATGGATAAAGAATTTACCTTTCATAATATGTCCGAATTGGGCGAATTTTTACAGTACAGTACTGACTTTTTACCAGGGCTGGAAATAGCACTTTAAAAATCCGGATTTTCCTTTAACTTCTGGAAAAAAAAGAGTTGCCGGATATTTTTCCTTTTTTTTTTTTCCAAAAAAATTTATAATAAATAATATATACATATATGTGTGTCACTACTTCAATATTTTAGAAAAGAACTATAATTTGTATCTTTTGAAGTTTCAGAAGAAAAGTATTGACTTAATTTAAATCTTATTTCACTGTTATTAAATTATTAAATTTAAATATGAATTTATGTTCCCTTACTCAAATATTGATGAATCAGATATAGAAGGTTCAGATAATGATGATATTTCAAAAAAATCAATAAAAAAAACCCATATTAAAATGTCAAATTAAAAAGTGCATTTTAGAAATCAGGAAAAAGTTTTCATCATGAATGGCTAAACATATATAAATGGTTAAAGTATGATGCAACAATGAAGAGAATGTTTTGCATAATTTGTAAAGCACATGGGAAAAAAAATCAATTTGCAGGAAAGATGACAAATAAATATAATTAATTTGGCATTTTGCAATTATTGATTTGCTAATATTATAATGTTATTATTTAGGATCAAAGAATGTTTCTACTGCTCTAGCAACTCATGCACTTTCAAACCAACATAATGGTTCTTTGCTTCTAGAAAAGGCAAGGATAACCATGAAATATTCTTCCAAAAAAGCCACTAATAATGGTAACAAACATATGATTAATATAATGAAAATGATTTACTGGATGGCAAAAGAAAATATTCCAATTTCCAAACTTCCAAGTCTTATTCATATCTTAAAACTTATAGAAATAGTGTACTCAATTCCATTTTCTAGTGTAGATTGTGAAAGAGGTTTTAGCGAACAGAATATTATCAAAACAGATTATGTAATGCAATAGAAATGACATATTGCACTTATTAATGATGGTTGGTTTAGAAGGTACTGATTTTATTTTGTTATGATTTTAGTGATGCTCTTAGTAAATTTCTTCAAAGTAAAAACAGAAGAATAGAATAAAGAAAATTCTTAAATTTGAAAAAAATTTTAGCACCCAAAAAATTTCCTTTTTTTAAATTTTTCTTCCAGAAAATTCTTAGTATTCAGGAGAAATTTCAGTTTTTTTTTCAGACCCTATTTCCAGCCCTGCTTTCTACCCTCCTCCCGCATTTGTTAGCAATAGTTACTTGACCATACCCAAAAAGATACCTTAAAAAAGAAGATAAACCATAGAATTAATCGAAACAGGAATACTATATCAACGGACAAGTTTATCTTGGATGAAGTTTTGTACTGCACATTGAGAACTATAACAAACCCACAAACAAAGGACCCAACATATATTATCAATGAAATATATTTATAATTGGATACACGGGAAAATGTATGTCTGATGAAAATACAGTATACAACAGACATGTTAATGAGTTCATTGATTTTTAAAAAAGAGAAACTATCCTAAACAAAAAATCAAACAACTAGTTTTGAATATAAAAACAAATGGAAGATAAAGAAAATAAAACAACTACATCATGATGAAATTGTAGGATTAATTGGGTTAATTCATTTGAAGATTTACAATTACAACATATCTAGTAAATCCAAATCAACCTGTTGAGAATCTAAAAAAATATACAAAAATTAAATATTAATATTAATGTTTATTTAAAAATTAATCATAATAATAAAATTAATCATGATAATAAAATTAATCGATTAACAGTTACCTTTATGATTACCAATAATTGTTACTTTATTGGAATTGACAGGTTGAGGAAGAAGGTCTATAAATTTTAATAATCTGCTAGTATAAACAGCATTAGGATGAATTGTTGCAGTAATTGTTGAAGGATCAAATAAAATTTTATCCATTTTATCAAATACTTTTTTAATTGACCATAATGTAAATTTCCAACCATTAATAATTGTAAATATTTCTTTAGCAGTTGGACGTTTATCTGGATTAGCATCCATGCATTTGTATGCTAATTCAATATAGAATTTTGGAGTGTTGATTGAAAATGCAGGTCT